AATGTAGTGAAATGTAGCGGAAGGTAGTGTAGTGTAGTTGTGTAGTTGTAGTTGTAGTGTTGTGGAGTGTAGTGTAGTGTAATGTAGCGAAATGTGCTTCGCGCCACAACGGTGTGCACTTTTTCAGCATCTCAACTTACAAAAGTGGTCCGAGAATGGTGTGTTTTGTACATTTTGACTTCGAAATGTGCTTCGCGCCACCATGGTGTGCACTTTTTCGACATCTCAACTTCCAAAAGTGGTCCGACCATGGTGTGTTTTGTACATTTTGACTTCGAAATGTGCTTCGCGCCACAACGCCGTGCACTTTTTCAACATCTCAACTTCCAAAAGTGGTCCGAACCCCTCAGTTTTTAACACATTTTACTTCCAAATGTGCTTCGCGCCACAACGCCGTGCACTTTTTCAACATCTGAACTTCCAAAAGTGGTCCGAAGCTGCGGTGTTTTGTACCTTTTCACTTCGAAATCGGCTTCGCGCCACAACTGCGTGCAACTTTTTCATCTCTCATCTGGCCAGCTGGCTCCGCACCCACCGCTTTAGCGAGCCTACTTTTCGACCCTCCGGAGCCCCAAATCATTGGAAAAACACAGTGTTTCGCGACTTTCCTACCTTTTCGCGCACCTGCATCTTCTTTCTTCTGATCTTTTCTCTTCTGACTCTTCTCCCTGCTGACTGCTTTTTCATCTCTCCATATTGTCGGAAGTTTGACTTCTTAACTTCCTTCGATCATATGTGGCCATTGCATGCCACTATGCTGGTAGGATATTCATGTAGTAGTCATGTTTATTTCCAAATAATATACAAACAATTTTCTTGGAACCATCAGGAGAGATCGAGCCTTTCATTCTTCCAGCTTTAAAGTTTTTCGTTTTTTTTTAAAGATTCCCTGTTTGGTCAGGGTTTTGACGCAGGTAAGGCCTATGACCGTGGAGGCCGAATCACTGAGAGATCGGGAGCAATGGGAAAACCCTTGAAACGAGTTTGTCCCGAAATGGCGGTAAGCCACGCTTAAACAATTGCCATATGAAAAGATTGAAAAGGGAAACTGATCACTAAGCAACAAGTAACAAGTGGATTTCAAGGTGTACGGGTGTACCCCAGTTTTGGAGACACCCAAAGGAAACTTGGATACACACAAATTCCTACTAGTCTACCAGGCCCGTGAGTTTCTTTGCCTGACAACTCCGAGACGCTCTAGATTTCTGGTGAACTCTCGTCTACTCGTAGCGAAAAAATCAAAATAGTCAGCTAGGGGTTCGAGTTGATTTGAAGTTCAGTTCACTTCAGCACTTCTTTTGCAGCTAACCATCTTTGGATGATTCCGATGGATCCTCAACCTGTATAGTTTGCCCCTCTTTGTGTATGAAATTGGGACCATTTTGCAGCAGCTCAACTCATTCCTGCACGACTCAGGCGCTGGAAGAGAAGCTGAAGGGGTTGGGGCCTGAAGCCTCCAGGGAAGCCATTCTGGAGGCGCGGCATCAAACGTCTACACATATAAAGTATATGATATATAAATATATATATATGTATATATGTATATAATATGTATATATATATATAACATGTATATATATATAATATGTATATCTATCTATCTATCTATCTATCTATCTGTCTATCTATCTATCTATCTATCTATCTATCTATCTATATATATATCTATACATATATATATACACACATATATGTATATATATATATATATATATATGCATGTGCAAAATGTATGCAGCGCCGGCCTTGCAAGCAGGGATTGGCCTTCGGAGGGTTCACTGACTTGTTGCATGCTTCCGCAGTGTTGGGTGCCGCGAACGGCATCAGTCAAGTCTCATTGAGCGGAAAACAGCGCCATGGAGCTCCCACATTTGCTGCAGAAGCAGTCGGAGCCAGAACATGAAACTGTGCCTCGGTTGATGCACTGGAGCTGTTCCTTCAAATTTTTGTTTGTTAGATGCGGATTAAACAGATCTGGTGGCGTCTGATCTAAGCATTTTGGTGACAACACGAATAGTTGAATTGAGCCTCTCCCATTGAGGTCAAGAGTCAACAGTACATCCAGGTCAAATATCAGGCGCGGATGCAACCCAAAGGTATTCACAGAGGTAGCTTGAAATTCACTTGCTCCAGCCCCATGGACCTTGTTAGATAATGTCACCTTTGGACAAGATTTGGTTCTGGTCTAGGAATCAGAGGGTGATTAGCGCCTGGATCTCCCTGAAGAGGTTGGGCACTGGTGCAGGTTCGAAGGCTGAAGGTGGCTTGCGTTTCCATCCCTGAAGCTGGGCATTTGGTGCCCACCGTCCAGGCAGGATGACCAAATTGGATGGTCTAAAACCTCTGGATGTCGCAGCTTTTAATCCTGACCTAAACCCATTTGTGTTGCGGTGAACATGTATTATACACATCACGGGGCAAGGTGGACAAAGCGGCCCCCAAATAGACAAAGCTTCCCAGCAAGTACCAAGCATTGTGGGTTCTGCCCAAGGTGGCCAAGGCTCTGGCTTATCGGGGACATGAAGCGTACCTTGTGACCATGGCAGCTGGGCTGGTGTCGGACCTGACGTCCTCGATGTTGGGGTGAGATGGGGCCCCCATTCCACAGGTAAAAAACGGGAACAGCACAGTTTTGGGGCTTTTAAGAGAATCGTGGTGCAATGCCTAAGATGGGCCTTCTCTGCCAAGCATTTTAGGACAGCGCTGCCAGCAAGTTTGCCAAGGGCTGCGAGGCTGGAGATTACTTGGGAGAGATGGGATTCAGGTCATTTTGGAAAATGTGTGGATTGAGATCGTGGTATTTTGAGAGGCAGGTGTACTCCACTGTATTAAACACCTAGTTTTGACCAAGTGTTTCACATTGGATTTAGTCTGATTTGGTTTGCATTGCTTCGAGTTGCTTCCTTTTTATAGTTGTGGCTGTGGTTGTGGTTGTGGTTGTTGCGGCGTTTGTGGTGGTTGTGGCGGTTGTGGCGGTTGTGGTGGCTGTGGTGGTTGTGATTGTTGTGGTTGTTGTGGTTGTTGTGGTGGTTGTGGTGGTTGTGGTTGTTGTGATTGTTGTGTGTTTTTTTCCTTCTTGTTCTTGTTCGTGTTCTTGTTCTTATTATGCTTCTTGTTCTTCTTCTTCTTCTTCTTGTTGTTGTTGTTGTTGCTGTTGTCGTGGTCGTGGTCGTGGTCGTGGTCGTGGTCGTGGTCGTGGTCGTGGTGGTGGTCGTCGTCGTCGTCGTCGTCTTCGTCGTTGTGGTGGCCGTTGCCGTTGCCGTTGCCGTTGTCGTTGTCGTTGTGGTTGTAGTCGTAGTCGTAGTTGTAGTTGTAGTTGTTGTAGTTGTAGTTGTAGTTGTAGTGGTAGTTGTAGTTGTAGTTGTAGTTGTAGTTGTAGTTGTATTTGTAGTTGTAGTAGTAGTAGTAGTTGTTGTTGTTGTTGGTTGTTGGTTGTTGGTTGTTGGTTGTTGGTTGTTGGTTGTTGGTTGTTGGTTGTTGGTTGTTGGTTGTTGATTGTTGGTTGTTGGTTGTTGGTTGTTGGTTGTTGGTTGTTTGTTGTTTGTTGTTTGTTGTTTGTTGTTTGTTGTTTGTCTGTTTGGTTGGTTGGTTGGTTGGTTGGTAGGTGGGTTGTTGTTGTTGTTGTTGTTGCTGGTGTTGGTGTTGCTGGTGTTGTTGTTGTTGTTGGTGGTGGTGGTGGTTGGTGGTTGGTGGTTGGCGGTTGGTGGGTGGTGGTTGGTGGTTGCTGGTTGCTGGTTGCTGGTTGCTGGTTCTTGGTTCTTGGTTGTTGGTTCTTATGTTTTTTTTTCTCCCGTCGTCGTCGTCGTTGTTGTTGTTGCTGCTGTTGTTGTTGTTGTTGCTGGTGGTGGTGGTGCTGCTGCTGCTGCTTCTCCTGCTCCTGCTCCGGCTCCTGCTGCTGCTGCTGCTGCTGATGCTGCTGCTGCTACTTGCCGTAGCTGCCGTTAAGCATGTGGCCCTGCCTGTAATACTCAACTCAGATCGGGTTGAGGCTTGAGCTTATTATTGAATTTGTGGTTTTGTGTGCCAAGGGCTCCCTGCTTTTCATTCTCAGTTCACAAAGTTTCATCCAGCTGACAGAGCTGCCCCAAGGCTGTAAATTGCCGCTTCAGAGGTTTGGCCAAAGGCCCGGCAATAGTCATTGCCGTGGGGGACAGCATAGGGAGAATACCACACTGTTTTGCATTCCACACTTCGATAGTGTCGTTCAACGGAAGATGCATCATCATCACCATCACCATCATCATCATCATCATCACCGCCACCATCATCACCATCATCACCATCATCACCATCATCACCATCATCACCATCACCATCATCACCATCACCATCACCATCACCATCATCATCATCATCAGCATCATCATCAGCATCATCATCATCATCATCATCATCATCACAATAATCACCATCATCACAATAATCACCATCATCACCATCACCATCATCACCATCACCACCATCATCACCATCATCACAATAATCACCATCATCACCATCACCACCATCACCACCATCATCACCATCATCACCATCATCACCATCATCACCATCACCATCACCATCACCATCACCATCATCATCATCATCATCATCGATTGTCTTCGAACCAGCCAACTTCGCCTGTTGCAGGCCTGGCTGGCTCAGATGCAGGGCATGGGCCAATTGCAGAACTCATGTCGAAAGGCATCTGCAACCGGCAGTTGGGTGTCAGGGGTGCCCAACCCATGCAGCGTAGTCGGTCAACGGAAAATGGTTGGCCATTCTTGCAGGATACATGTCTAAGATCAGGTGCGTTTGGATATCACATCCCGCCGCTTGAACTGTAAGTGCAGGTATATGGTCGGTTCTCACGCCAGTTTAGTAGGGACCTGCGGGCGAGCCTGATGTTTCGCGTTTCAACATGTCTGCTGTTTTGTTTGTCATTCCCGGTCAACTTTACTTTTGCTTGTACGAGATGCTCACATCAGTTTTGATTCATAGCACTGCAGCAAGTCGCACCACTGTGTCTTGGGGGGCATGGTTTTGGAACGCCACCATCTCACCAACAATATGTATTTAAATGATATATGACAAGGAACATATTCCTTTTTTATATTCGTCTTGCTATGTGGATCGTATCAACCGTTTTTGTTTTAGTGGTTGTATCTTTTTGGCGTCCTCTTCGAAGATGAATTGTTTTTGAAAAGACGGGGGCCATGGCATAGTGTCTCAGACGGGCATATAGATCTGTTGAGAGTGTAGAAAAACCAAGAAGAGGATCGTGTTGCAGGTCCGCAAGCGCATTGACCTAAAAAATATTAAAAAGGTACATTCACAGAAGTTTTCTAAACTCAAATTATAGCAGTATAACAAGTCAAAAATTATTCGCAAACAAAAACATAAAAAACTACCATATATTACCTCATTCATTCCACAAAATCACGAGCACCTACCATTTCCACTACCTCATTCATTTTCTCAAAATCATCACAGTCAATTCATCACACCCTCATTCATTTTCACAAAATCATCACAACTAATCATGTCATCATCTCGTTCATTCCACTAAGCATAACCACCTATCATACTTCACCTCATCCGTTTTTAGAAATCATAACAGTCAATACGTCATTACCTCATCCATTCTACATCCAAAAGCAAAACAACCAAACAAAACCAAAAAACAACAGACCAAGCAAAGAACAACACAAAGAACAAAACAATAGACCAACAGTAAAGATAAATTCTTAGTCTTGACTAATCCTATTTTAACAGTCCATAAATCGACTAAATAATGTTATTAGAATTATGTTGGGTAAATGTCTTCAATAATTACTAATTTAAAATGAAATGCTTGTATTCCATAATACTATCGTTATCTTGGTCTTCTTCTATATTGCTTTTTACTTCATCCACTGCGGCATTTAATATTTCTCCCAAATCATCTTCATTTGTATCTTCATAATATTGACTGTGATAATATATATATATATCTCTAAAACTAAATTCAGTCTCCCCATATTCTTTATCTGGGAGTTTTGCCACTATTTGGGACTTGACTATCAAGTTTAAGCTAGCGGGTGGAAAACCGCGCGGGATATTAACGTTCATGTACCTTGCGTACATCCGTGGATGCTACGCGGCTGCTACGTCACTGGTCAGGGGTTGGGTGGGGTGGGATATTAACGTTCATGTACCTTGCATACATACGCGGATGCTACGCTGCTGCTACGTCACTGGTCAGGGGTTGGGTGGGGTGGGTGATTAACGTTCATGTACCTTGCGTACATACGCGGATGCTACGCTGCTGCTACGTCACTGGTCAGGGGTTGGGTGGGGTGGGGTGGGATATTAACGTTCATGGACCTTGCGTACATCCGTGGATGCTACGCTGCTGCTACGTCACTGGTCAGGGGTGGGTGGGGTGGGGTGGGATATTAACGTTCATGTACCTTGCGTACATACGTGGATGCTACGCTGCTGCTACGTCACTGGTCAGGGGTTGGGTGGGGTGGGGTGGGATATTAACGTTCATGTACCTTGCGTACATCCTTAGCGACCCACAAACTTGGTGGCAAAAGCATCTTGGTGACAGACGGTGCCCCATGCTACCCTAAACTGACCTCTGAACACAATCTGCTTCATGAAGATTGCAATCATAGTAAGGGCATCTTCTGCATCACCAAGAAAAAGCACTGGGGAAACTTGCTAGTGCACACCGGTGGCATCGATGGAATGTGGAAAAATTCCAAAGGTGCAGTATCATCCTCTTGGAGCACACGTAAAGATGGTGCTGTGAACCCTCAATTGCTTCAAGGAATAAGGATTTGGCAATGGCGATGGCACCATGGAAATTCCACTGACTTCATCAGTCTCACAGGCCGCGCTCTGAGCAAACGCTTGGAGAAGTGACACGCCAGCGAAGAACAAGGAAAAGGCTTCCAGCCCGCCACAACCACAAAACCCTGTAAATACCGCGACATTCCTTCAAAGTCATTCAATTTTCCCCGGGAAAATTTAAGGTAATGTTCATCATAAAATGTGTACGGCGCCACAGCGCCAGAAGAGTTTCTTTTCAAAAAGTGTTCAACCGCTAGCGCGGTTTCCCACCAGCCGGGTAGTTTAAGCACATGTCCCTAAAATTTTCAAATACATCGGTTAGTAAATATACATCAGTCATCAAATATAAATCATGATATTCATCAAGGTTTTTAATGTTGCAATGTTTCCATACAATATTTGCTCTGCCGTAGTCTTTGTCAGTTATGTTTTCTTCATATAATTGACTGTAAAAGTCTTCTTTCTTTGGTAGTTTTGTTTCATCAAATTTATCACATGAATTCATATAGTCGTATGGATAGACACCCTTATCAGTCAGTAAATTCAAATCAGTTTTAGATTTAATGTAAGGGTTGGTGCTTGTATATCTGAAACGAGCTTCCCAATCTTTAATCTTTTCGTTTCCCTCATATTTGTTTAATCTAACTAGTTTATCCAATGACGCAGTTAAGAAAGCAAAACTATCTTTAAACTGACAGGCACCAAATGAAAAGGTTATGAACTTTTCGCTGTTTTGTGCTATTACCTCTATTCTTTTGTTTTGGTTTAGTTCTATGTTTAGTTCATTTGCTCTGGCAATGATTAAGTGAGCGTCATAGTTTTTAAGATTATGAAAGAAGATAGGGATTTTTAAATATCTAAATGACTAATCCAGATTACATTTTACATGCACTGCGCCTCTGTATTTGCCTGTGAAGTGGCAGTGGTCGCGGACTTTCTCATCATCAGGTTCAAATTTCTTACCGCAGATGGAACAATGAGACGATAATTTAAACTCTATTTTTTTTTCGTTTGTTAATTCATCCATGGGTTTATTAACATTCATTTTTCCAAAAATATCTTTCTTAATTTCGGTCAGTTGTTCTACAAACTGTTTCATACAATCCTCACCTCTGTATAAATACAGTTTGCAAGTATTATCAATCCTGCTTACAACATTCAACATATAACAGCAAGGTTTATGTTCTTGGTAAGTTCCTCTGGGAGCACTGCTTCCAGAGCAACTTAGGGCACCTTCGGTGCCGTAAGTTCCCTTTATTTCAGTAGTAGAGTTAGTGGTTAGACATTCAAAATCACCATAGATTACAAAAGGACAAGGCAATTTAGTATTATGCTTTTCAAATTCTATATACGTGTCTTTATTTGGCATCTTTGTTTGTTGTCCTTCTGATGCCATACATCCTTTTTCAAGATGGTTCTTATATGCCTTTTCTGATTGAAATGGATTTAAGCAATGGTGACAGTAGTGTTTTTGCTTAGTATTAGTGTTGCTTTGACAGTTAAGTAATCTACTTTTGTTTTTTACTAAAACATAGTGATAATAATTGTCTTCATCACAAACCTTTAATAAATCAATCTCATATTTGGCATTTGTATTTTTAGTGCCTCTATGCAATATGATTTTATTATCATTTAAGCAGTCATCAGGTTCAAAAACATTTATTGAAACTAATTTATTGTTCTCTTCAAATCTGTCTATGTCCCTATTACCAGTCGGAAAATTTACACGATCCCAGTTGAAAATATCATCTTTTAGTTTATTGTAGTGGAACATTTCTTCTGGGTGATGTTTGCTTATTTTGTCATAGACTACCGATTGAATACAATATCTAAAACATTTTTGGTCTTTGTTTTATTGTTGATACATGCCTTTTTTAATTTAATCCATTGTGGTAGTTCTATGTATCTCCCTGCCCTTGTTGGGTCATATCTGTCATAATGAATGGTTATTGATAAAATCTTTTTGAAGCGTAAAATAGATGCGGATGCTTCTAAATTTTGTATTTGTAATAAGATTGTTTAACACTGTCGTCTAATGCTTGTGTCAGTTCATCCTCATTACTGATATTGAAGCGGGTTGAAGGTAAAGCATATACAAGTTCTTGACTGCCGATGTCATTTCCTCCATCATCATATTCAGGTTTTTCAAAGAGTGCTTCTGTTCTTATGTTAAGTTTCACGCTTCTTTTCTTTCTTAAACATTCTACTAGTCTTGGTTTTTGGCGTGCAATCATTTCCAGTCCTCTTTCTCCTTCAAAGTGTCTATTTTCTAAAACTATTGAATTAGCATATCTTCTGAATGCTGATTGAATATCTCTGACCCTAAATTTGTTTTTGATTGCGTGTTTGGTCAGTATTTGTCTCACTCTTCCTTCACTGAACGCATCTTTTGCCTTGTTTAAAGCATAACTTATGTATTCATTAGTTTTCTTTACTGTTAATAGTTTCTTTGTTAAAACAGTAGATATTGGTTTGTCTTTGTTGTATCTAAATATTTTATCATCTATTAATATTATTGACTTTAATTCTCTCCTTCCTCGTTTTGGCATTTCTGCTAAATCATTACTTAGTAAATAGTCTATAACTTTTTTTTGGTTATCATATAATAGTATATATTTTATCAAGTTAATTTATCTTTAAGTAGGTTTTTAAAGAATGATATATTTTAACCTGAGAATATTGCTGAAAGAATAGTTATTTAAGTATATATTATTAGGATGAATTTTGTGAAGGATTTGCCTGTTGATGTATTGAGTAATATTGTATCATATACTCCTGGAGATCCTGAATATGTGAAAATGAAATATAGACATAGTGAAGCATTGGAAGAGTAGAGGATACATATAGAGTATCAAGACTTGGTCCGAAAAAGGACAGAACGATAAGACAAAGAGACAAGATGCATATAGAGTATTGTATTTTGAGAGAGGGAGTACCATTTAGTTTGAAAAGTATAAGAAACATCATAGCAGAAGAAAGAAAGAATTACTATCTTTAATTTATGAAGAAATCAAAGATAATTTAGACTTTAGGGTTAAACTTGATATTCAAGTCCCAAATAGTGGCAAAACGCCCAGATAAAGAATATGGGGAGACTGAATTTAGTTTTAGAGATATATATTATCACAGTCAATATTATGAAGATACAAATGAAGATGATTTGGGAGAAATATTAAATGCCGCAGTGGATGAAGTAAAAAGCAATATAGAAGAAGACCAAGATAACGATAGTATTATGGAATACAAGCATTTCATTTTAAATTAGTAATTATTGAAGACATTTACCCAACATAATTCTAATAACATTATTTAGTCGATTTATGGACTGTTAAAATAGGATTAGTCAAGACTAAGAATTTATCTTTATTGTTGGTCTATTGTTTTGTTCTTTGTGTTGTTCTTTGCTTGGTCTGTTTTTTTTGGTTTTGTTTGGTTGTTTTGCTTTTGGATGTAGAATGGATGAGGCAATGACGTATTGACTGTTATGATTTCTAAAAAGGGATGAGGTGAAGTATGATAGGTGGTTATGATTTAGTGGAATGAACGAGATGATGACATGATTAGTTGTGATGATTTTGTGAAAATGAATGAGGGTGTGATGAATTGACTGTGATGATTTTGAGAAAATGAATGAGGTAGAGATATTGTAGGTACTGATGATTTTGAGAAATGAATGAGGTAGTGGAAATGGTAGGTGCTCGTGATTTTGTGGAATGAATGAGGTAATATATGGTAGTCTTTTATGTTTTTGTTTGCAAATAATTTTTGACTTGTTATACTGCTTTAATTTGAGTTTAGAAAACTTCTGTGAATGTACCTTTTTAATATTTTTGACCTACCTCATGTGCCGCTGTCCATGTGTACAGTATACAGCAGTATCCAATTAGAAAAGGGCGTTTGCCACCATTTCCTCAAGCCCCTCACTATCGTGAGGCTTGGTGGCTCAGGCTTTTTCGCAATACAATCACCTGATGCATCAGGCGGAACAGGGGGAAGAACTGGGTACATACTTCAAGAAATTGCAATACGAATTGCAGCAACGCAAACAGTGGTACCCAAATCGGTGGATAGCGCACATGTCATTACTCTCGGCCCAGAGAGGTCTGGCCATTGTGAAAGCCAGGCAGTACCTGTTAAGTTTCCAGAAGCAATCCGAACCAGGTGTAGGCAGCGGCGATGATTGTTGCGTAGTTTTAGTTGCGAGCAAACATATGTTGGAACAAAGAGAAACTTTAGATTTGGGATTAATCAACATAGGCATTAGCCGCTTCGAGCGGATATGTTAGAAATGCAAGAATACACGGAAGACATGTAACATGTAACTTGAAATTCAGTACGTGAAATTGTAGTTAAAACATTGATTGTTTAGTGGGAGCGGAGCTTCCAGCAAGTCTAAAGTGAGTCATGTTCTCGGATCTCACAATACTTAGATCTTGAGGCTTGCAATGGGGCCTATAGTGTTAAGTTCTTGATCAAGGCCCAAGCTCAGATACGCAGTGAAACCCGCTGTTTAGCCTATTTACTTACGAAAATGCAAAACTGCTCCCAGCCGAGTTTCATGTCCCACAGAAAGCCACTAAAGGCTTGATCCTTTATTGACGTAATATAGGGTATGGATGGCAAGAATCAGGCGGGCGCCTAAGGCCAAAGGATTTGGTGGGTCAAAGGTGCTGCTTCTCTAGCTCTTTTCACATTTGTGTCCCAAATCAAGCGACAACGGTCTTGACACCTACCCTTGCAACCGGATTTGCGTGATTTTGGCACCAGTTAGTGATCATCATCATCATCATCATCATCATCACCATCACCATCACCATCATTGCTATGCACGTCCATTCTTAGCTGATAGCGACCTGAGCATCACAAGTTCCAAGTAATGCTCTGAACCTTACTTGTAATGATGCCGGCAGATATGTTCTAGAATGCACATGGCATGTCAGTTCTCCTCGAAGGATTCCATCAGTTCTGTCTTGTGCCTACAGAGATGTTTGAAGTTGCAGACTGCTTCTTGCGACCCTTGCATGGCAAGGAGCAATGGAATAAGCTGTGAGATAACAAGCACATGGAGGTTTCCTAAACTGGGGGTACCCTAAAGAATCAAACCAAATTAGACAAATTTCGTATTGAAACCCAATGTGCCTGGGGGATTCTGAAGATTCACCGCTCAAGAGAACATCGGCGCTGAACCGGATGCAGACGATTTTGCACGATTCTCGCGAACTCAGATCATATGATGTTGTATGATGGCATGTTGAGAAAGTATGGGGCGTCCTGCAAGCGTGACAGCCTTGGAGCTTGTTGCCTGCATGTGATGGGATACGTTTTTGGGCTTGCTGTCGAAGTGGCACCGCTTGAATTTCGAGTTTGTTCTAGCATCCATTCGCTTTGGGGCGAATTTTCGGCCGCAGGAGCGTTTGCCGTAAGCCAATACATGTCAGGGGGTGGCCCGCCAGGAGCTGCTAGACTTGCTGCGGGATGAGGGGCCCTTTGACATGGTGCTGGCGGACTTTGCCACCATGTCTGCTATCCAGGTAGCAGAGGAATTGAGCATCCCTTGCGTCATCAATGTGCCAGGCGCAGAGCTGTGTAAGTGATGGGTACTAGGGCTCAAAGTGCAAGCCACAGTCATGCAGCATCTGAAAACTGTAAGTGGGCAGTGGGCCCTTTTCTGTGGTTCA